TGACCCGCCTGTGCTGAGTCCTTGCCCAGGGTGGATGGGAAGGGCAGTGTCGATAGGGTAGTATTTTTCAAATCTCCTTCAGCCCAGTCTCGGGAACCTGCCATAAGATCTTTCAGGGAAAAGGTTGCAAATTAGACTGAGCTTTCTTATGTCCTAAGCAGAAGAGCATGCCTGGTGGTTGGCTACATCAGCTACACCCTCCCCCAATTTCTCATGGCAGGCTTTGTCTATTCAGCAAGTGTGCTCTGACCCCTCCTAGGGACCCAGCCCTCATCATTCCCCACTGCCGTGGCTTATTGTCCTGTCTCCGTCCAGAGAATGTCCTGGGAGCAGAGGCCCCGGATTTAATGAAACCAGGGAGGCAGCCAGAGCCATGGCTTTGAGCATGGTCTCTAGTCAGGCAACCAGGTCCTCCCACTTGATAAGTTTGTGGCCCTGAGCAAGTTACCTAAGTGCCCCGAGGCCCAATTTTCTCCCCTGTCCACGTGGGTAAGAGCAGTACCTACTTTCCAGGACTGCTGAGAGTATTCACCAAAGCATTTAGAAAGATGCTTAGGAATAGGAAGAAAACAAGTGTAAGCGGTTGTCAGTATTATTATCTTTAGGCAGACTAGCAAGCTCTCACAAAGGGCTGAGAGGCTGCCCTCATTAGTACAAGAAACTAATATCGCTGAGCCCAATGCTGTGCCAGGCTTGGTGCTGGGCACGCATGGGTGTGTCATTTTACTTAAGTCTCAGCATCCATGCCATCTTTCTGACTATGAAGCTGAGACCCAGAGAAGTGGAGTAAATAGTCAGAGAGAACAGAGCTAATACAAGACCTGAATTTAGCTACCCTGCCAGAAGCAAAGCTCTCCAAAGAATGGTGAGAGGAGGGCTCAGCCTCCCTTTGGATAATGAACCGGGGCCATCTTCCCCAGTGTTGGCCCACTGTGATGCTTCTAACAGCTGCCTCTTCCCAGCCTGTGGGAGCTTAATAAAAGTCAGGCAAATCTCACCACTTGCCACTCTAATTGCAGAGTTTGGATGTGACGTGAAGAACATATCATGTGGAATGAATAACAAATCAGGCAGCTCCTTTTTTTTAGCCCTGATGCTCGGGGAGCAGCCCAGAGTTCACCATCACTCGGTGAAAGAGGTTACCCCTGCAGCACCAACATCTGTGTGCCCAACACATCCCTGGACCTGCACTCCACGCTGAGTGATGCACTGGGGCCACCGGCTTTGCTCCGTGTGCAGCTACCAAAAGGGACATGGAAATGGGGTGCTTTCCAAAAGCAGGAGAAATTACCCGGGTGCGCACCCCATCCACAGGCACTAGCGAGATTAAGGCACTTGTCCCAATCACAAGGGGGTGTGGGCAGAACTGGGCGAGGTTCAGAACTTGCCTGACCCCAAGCTGGTGAGTGCCCTGTCACTGTCCTGGGTCCTCTGGAGCAAGAACTGCCCCTCAAACATCCAGCCTGCACTGTGAAAGTGGAAATATGACCAGGAGGAGCTGAGTGACCGCTGCCCAGAGAGAGAGCAAAGAGCAGGGTCAGGGCTGGGCAACCACTGCATCACCTAGAGGCACCCCTTGCTCTGCATCTTGAGGAGATCATGGCCCCTGGGAATGATGGGAGCCTATAGCGTAGAGGCCAGTAAACAAAAAGATCCAAGTAACTCTATCTGGATTAGTCCCCAAATAGTACAGGCCTGGCGGGGGGGGGGGGGGGGGGGGGATGAAGAGGGGGAGGGGAGTCCAGCCAAATTTCGTCAGCAGGCACCAGGGCAATACAGCTCCACACAACCACACAAGAAGTTGTGAAGGGCACAGTTTCATCCCACCAGAGCCAAGAAGTAAACTCGGGAGGTTTTATAAAACCTCACAGCCGCTCAGTGCCTAGTTTATTTATAAACGAAAATCACAGAGAAGTGGGGAAAGCTCCCAAAGGCCGCAAGGAAGGGGCTGGTGATTTAAATTCTTGGCCCACCAAGTAAAACCTTTTCAATTGTCTCTGAGATGTGACTTGAAACATCTGGAGGTTCAAATAGAACCCATGAGAGGCCTCTGATGTCCCATGCATGGCCGCCGGATAATTGCCAAGTAGGGGAGGGGTGATGGTGGCATTATGACCCCATGTGGGGATGGCAGTTTCTAGAGAAGTAGCATTCAGACAAAAAAATAAGCAAGTTTGTTCATTTCTCTCTCTCTCTCTCATTCTCTCTCTCTCCCTTGCCAAATAAGAATTATAACAAATGAAAAAGAAAAAAACATTCACAAAGCAAAGGTACCGAAGTCCACCTACAATTCCACACTTTTCTTACTTTTATTAAGCACACTACCTGATCTAACGTGGGTAAAAACAGAATACTTCTTTCAACGCAGCTCTCATCTTTATCCCTTGAGTCAAAAAGCACTGCCTGAAGCAGAAACGTGGCAGCATCCCTACTCCAGAAACTTTACAAGGAATTCAAGTCCCTTTCATCTTCCTTCTTCTACAGCCAAGAATTCACCTTCCCCTAGGAAAAGCACTGTCTTTTTCTCCCAAGTCGTTTGTGGTCCAGAAGATTTAGGCAGAAAGAATGAGAGGAGTCCCCAGACATGGTATTGTCCCACAGTCTCTTCTTTGATGGGCTGAGAAGGTGGTTTGGGGCAGTAGATTGCAAGTGGTTGCACTGCATAAACTTTAATGATCTAAGGATCTGCCTCTCTCTCCGGACCACGGGCCTGGGAAAAGCTACCTTTGTCACAATTCTTGGCATAAAATAATACTCAGTGCATGTTTCTTGAATGAGCAAATAAATGAATGAGTGAACGAGTGAATAGAGAATCTGTAGGGAGACCCCATTATTATATTTTTCCAGAAGAAATTTTCCAACTGACACATTAATTAGGACTAATATTCTCAGTTATTTTGGGGACTGCTTGAAATTTGCTGCTAATTTAAATAAAATGGCTACATTTACTCATTAATTAGCATGCTTTCCATCAGCTTCCCCTCACCAATTTGATTAGTTACACCTTTCTCCTACCCAGGGCCTTCCCTGAGATCTGGGTATATCACAACTATATCAGAGTGAACTTTTTAAACAAAATTTAAGCAGAATTTCTCAAAGGTCTTAGACACACATGAGAACTCTGCCCCACTTTCTAGCCCTAGCCTGGTGTCTTTGGGCCTGTAGTGGGCCATGTGATTTGCTCTAAAAAAAAAAAAATTCCTATTACTAGACCAATTTATTCTTCAGGGGAAATGAAACTTTCTAAAATATGAGGACTTCCTGAAAGACAAGTTCTCATATAGTCAATGAATAAAACTGAAGGAAAAACTGGAAGTCAAAATATAGGCATCCTTCCTGGTCCTGTTTTTGCCAGGAACTGTGTGGTGTGACCTAAGGCAGGTCAGTTCAAATCCCAGTTGCCATTATCTTGTTTTCTTACTTGTCAGAGGTGGAAGATGGTGACGGCACAGTGTCTACAAATGTAGAGATTCATTGAGCTATACACTCTGGACTGGAGAATAACATTATATTTCAATAAGAGAGTAATTAAAGGCCCAGAGACAGGTGAGGTGAAAATCAGGAATGGTGCCTGCTCACAACTGAACAGCTTCATGGTCCCATCTTACAGACTTGAACAAGTCCAACAGCCTTCCTTCATCCAGTCTCACTGTCTCATTAGTTCAAACTGGCTTATATAACCTCACCTCTATCTCTGGCTTCTGCTGCTGCAATGGCTGAGGAAGTCCATGAGTCCCACCCATGATCTCTTAACCAAATGGTTGCATATATTTGATAGGCTGAGAATTTTCCAAATCTTCAAGTTAAGGTTAAATGATGTCATAAAAGTAGAGCCCTGATCTGATAGGATTAGTGTCCTTTTAAGAAGGGATACAAGAGAGCTCACTCATTCTCTCTCTCCTTGCCATGTAAGGACATACTGAGAAGGTGACCATCTGCAGGCCAGAAAGAGAGATTCTATACACTCTGTTACATCTTGATAGATATAAGATTTACATAAAATAGTCACCCATTATAAATGTCACACCATTGTAATAATGAAGAATGAGCTGCCATATTGCGTGGTGTGGGCACAGTGTGACATGCTGACCTGGGTTGACCAGAGATGTCACAGCAGTTGAGCAACAGAACAGACGAGGTGGTGGAGATAACCATGGACAATTGTAGGGAAGTCCCACTACATTACATTGAGTGGCACATAAAAAACATCCTTTGGTTGTGTATTTAAATACTAACTCTTTTAAATACAACTCTTTTAAATACTAAGTTGTAATTACACAAATATACATATCTTCTATTCTAAAATGTCTTTTTTAAAATCATTGGGCACTTCTGGAGGTAAGATAGGTAAACTTTGAAAGTGTTGTCAAATGGAACAATTAGCCTATGGAGTTCTCCATCAATGATTGCCCATTACACTTTGTTGAATAAACCATTTCTCTTGCCTGTGTCCTCAACATCCTCTCTGAGTAGCTGAAGCTATGATGGGAAATTTTTCAGGGATAACTTATTTTCCCGGTAGCTGCTCTTCCCTGTCCACCAGAAGAATGTCCTAAGTACTAGACAGGGTCTCATGGCTATACATTTTGGTCCCAGCTGTGACCTACTACAGGACAGAGCCTGAAGGCTATGCAATGGACTTCTGAAGGGACTTTCAGGTGCCAGGAGTTAGGGGGAGTCCTGGGTTTCCTCCTGCCAGGGTGGGGCATGGCTGCCAGGAGGAGAACTGTGATTTACCCTCTCTCCTGGGGAGGCAGGTGCCCTTCTAGAAAGATATGGCCTTCTTCACTCTCCATAATGAAAAACCCTGGCATCCCAGCATCCCTGCCTCCTTCTAGGCAAGGCAGGCCCGACTCTCCCTTTTTCCTCATTGGGACACCTCCTAAAGAAAAGCCCCAAAGCCCCGGGGCCGAGGATACCCAAGACAGAATTTAACTATTCTTCCCTCCAGATACAGGTGCACACCCTGGTGCAGTGCAGGGAGCTCTCAAAGTACTCACCTGGGGTGTCATTCCATGGCAGATATACACAATTGGAACATTCTCTGTGTCTGGACCCTGATCAAGACACAAATCGGTCTTCAGAGAGTTCTGCAGCTGAAAACCAGGGCAGGGGCGGCCACACCAAAGAGAAAGGAACAGAGAAACAAATACATTAAATCAGGAGAAACAAGCTTTCTACTGACACAGGCTCCATTTCCATAATTAGCCCAAAGACTCTTGAATACTATGGAGACCTACAAGCTCTTTTGCTTTGCACAAAGGTGCTAAGATTAAGACCAGCCCCTTTGAAGGTGAATCATTTACATGTTAAAGAGCAAGCTGGGTCTGGAGAGCTGAATAGGTCTAGGTCAGGTGTTGGCAAGGCAACCTAAGGCTCCAGAACCCGCATGCGGCTCTTTTGAAGCTTTGCTGGGGCTCCGCAGGGCGATAGCAGGGGGCGGCAGGGAGCTGTATCACTTACCTTTGCTGAGCTGGAACCACCAGAGTGGCTGGAAAAATTACATTTTATGATAGACATGACAGCACATCTAAACACACTAAATACAACCCTTCAGGGGAAAGGAGGCACAGCCCTGCACATGCTGGAGGAGGTTTTGGCATTTGAGCACAAGTTGACAGTGTTTGTCAAAGATTTACAGAGAGGTACACTGTCTCACTTTCCCTCTTTGAGAGAGTTCAAACGAAGTCATGATACGATAAATTTGGAATATTTGAAGTCTGCAATCACCACAATGCAAAGTTCGTTTGGGAAACGATTCTGTGAGTTCAGAGAGGAAAAAACCACATTATCCTTCCCTGTCACTCCCCTGCAATCGATCTATTGAATATGACTGCATTTGCAGGTGTAAGACAATCTGATCTTGAGATGGAACTGGCCGATATAGCTGACAAAGATATATGGGTGTCCAAGTTCAAATGCTTGACTGCTACTCTTGAGGATGTTGCCATTCTGGATCAGAATCATAAATGGAGTGATATTGAAAACCTTCCCAAACCGGACAGACTTGTATTCAAAACATGGAATGCCATCCCCAACACTTATATAAACATGAAAAAGTATGTATTTGGAGTCCTGTCAATCTTCTCCAAAATGAACTATATTGAAAACAAACATTGATCATGCCTAACAGATGACAGCTTGCAAGCCTGTGTGAAAATGAAGGTAACGTCCTACAGCCCTGATGTGCAGACACTGTGCACTGAGGTTCAGGAGCAAAAATCCCATTAACCAGGTAAATTAAATATTTTAATTAGCTATTAATTTGCAAAAATATATTTTACATTGGTAAGTGAAAAAGACCTTTTTTTTTTTCAGATTGACAGCTAACTGCATGATCCAGTATATAGCATTAAGGTAAGAAACAATATAAGCAGTGTTATATTTGTTTTAAATGTCGCAATGGTTTTGCGGCTCCCAGGTTGTTTTTTTTTCCTTCGGAAACGGGTCCAAGTGGCTTTTTATGTCTTAAAGGTTGCAGGCCCCTGGTCTAGGTAATAATAAAAGATCCATCTGCAAGCACACACACAAGAGGGGCATCATGGCCTTCAGAGGTCTCTAGATAGGCCTCTGTTTTTACTCTTCAGGGTTGGGGGAAGTGGGCAACATTCCAGCTGTTTTGGGGACCTGGGACCAGGCCCTCACTGCCCAGCATATCCAGCAGTGATTTGACCAATCCCCAGTGGAGGCCCAGTTGATGAGAGTTCTCCACGGTGGGGGATTTGCCAGGTGAATAAAAGAGAAGAAGGCCAGGTGGGAGCAGGAGAAGAGAGGTCATTCTTACCCTACCTACAAGCACAAGACAATCAACAGAATAAATGTGGTGGCCACTAGGATTATAAAGCCACTTAGACTGGGAGTGGGGGATCTGTTGGGCCATGTGCAAGCAGAGAAACCCAGCTGTGATCAAGGAGGAGATGAAGCATGAGGCAGACAGAATTAGAGACAAGAGATCATCCGGCTACTGTTGTGGTTTCATGGTTTCCCAGCTCGAGTGCCCACATCCAGTTGTTCTTCAGCTCCTGTGTCCAGCACCTTTACCCACCTTAACTTGAGTTAGTTTAAATAGCTTTTATCAGCAATCAAAGCACTCTGTTTAGAACAGAAGGCTGGAAATAGACATCCAGGGATAGACCAGGGCAATGGACCACAGGTGGGTCATCTATTGGGGAAGACCAGTGGCAGGCAGTGGCTGACCTTTGGTAGACCTTATGGGTTGTGCAGGCGTTCAATGACCCTGAGTAAAGGATGTGAAACAGAACAGAACCAGAGGTGCATGTGTGGTCTATGCATATACCCTGTTCTTGACTGGGACAAGAAACAGAGTCAAATTATATTTTCTTTTGAGCTTCCTTTCTTTACTGGGTGACAGAGCTCAAGCTCAAACTTGTGGTTTGGAGGTTCTGAAAAAATATGGACACATGCCAGCTCCCTAGGCAGGGGCCCAGAAGTGTCTATGCAGCAGATCCTCATGATAAACCAACTACTTGGCTGGCCTGTGTGGGAGGAGCATAGAAAACACTCTGGACTTCTCCCGCAGCCCAGGGACTGGTGGGTGTCACATGTGAAGCCCAGCACTGAAACCATTAGTGAGACCTACTGACTGCGCCTACAAAGAGGAAGGACCAGAGACCTCTGATGTTAGACTTGTTCTCCCTGAGAACTTAGAATCAGCTTCTGAGTGAGGGGGTGGGTGATACCCTTGATAAAGTCCATGTTGGCTGTGCCATCACTCTCCCATTAACAGGTGGCCTGTTGACACAGTTGGAGAGATAGACTGGGATAGAATCCTGGCTCCAGCTGTGTAGTCTTGGTTAATGCAATGTAACTCCTAGGAAACCAATTTATATGATTGCATCTATGGGCTCTACATGCATTATCCCACCTAATCCTCAAAACAAGAAAGTGTGGTACAGTAAGAAGCTCTGCCTCACCTCTCTGTCTGCAATCTACTCCCATGGATGCCCTGCTTTGGTCTTCTCTTTGCCTGACTAAATCCTTTTCTTCCTTTGGTTCTCAGCTTCTCTGTCACTCTGGAAGCCTTTCCTAACCCAATCTGTGTGCGAGGCTGTGGCTCCATGTTTCACGAGCTCCTCCACCTGTCTTATTGGAGCACTTAGCACACTGTATTCTTATTGCTTCTTCTCTTGCCTGTCTCCTCTACTAATGTCATCAGAGTAGGTCTCAGTCTTCCTCACCGGCCAGCTGGACATAGTAGATAGTAAATACACGTGCAATGAGTGAATGATTGAAATGTACAAGTAAATGGCATTTCTAAATGAATGGCGTCATAGTTGGACAAGTGGCAGAGCTGGAGTCTATCTGTCTCTGAAGTCCAAGGTTTTTCCATCAGGTAAATGGCGACAGTCCTGAGACTGTGAAAGATGCCCCCTGAAATGATCTGACTAAGGTTTTGCAAATTGTGGAGTGATTAAGTAGCAAAGCCAGATTCAGAAGCTGGGCATATCTGTTTCCAGGTGCTGCTCCATCTCCACTTTCAGCAGCAGAGCTGGAATAAATCCAAAGCCACTCTGTCTCCCAGACGTGGAGCTCAACGATCCAGGGGAAACCCAGGCCCATACAACGGGTCCACAGGCCCTTCAGTCTGCAGGAGTCATTAATGAGACCGATTAGTGGATTAATGGCCTGATTTATATAGACTTGATAGTGGCCAACTGACAGTCCCAGGGGCTTATTTGACCTGAGCAAGGTAGTTTGGGCATGGGCTGGAGGGGAAAAAGGAATGAGAAATCCTATGTCTGAAAAGAATCTGGCCTCTCCATTTCAGAATAAAAAGAAAATTACCAGGAAGAGCATTTAAGCCCCAGCAAATTCTCTTGTTCTTGCGGCTGCATCCCGTCTCTCCAATCTTCACCCTATTGCCCCCACTGAGGGCTCATTATGCTCCTTGACAAGCAAGTGTGTCTCTGCTCATGTCAGAGCCCAGCCTATGGAGGAGGCAGGAATGGAGGGAGGCTGGCAGGGTCCTAAAAAGTGTCTGGAAGACGAGCATACAGGGGTCAGAGGCCTCTGTCAGCTCCAAGAACTGGGTGGGTATAGCACTGAGAGGGTTTCATGGTCAACCTGCTGTATGTATTTGTAAGAGGGGACACTTGCTTGGAAGACAAGAATGCTCTTAGCCAAGACCCAGAACTGCAATGGCTGCATGCACATACCTCCACTTTTACTGCTTTCCCTGCATCTTTGGCTGAGTTTGGCTACTACTGTTTGGCCTGGCTCACAGAGGTTTTGGGCCAATTGTTTCTCTGAAGTCATATTTGCCTAAATGTCCTTTTTTGGATGGGATCCAACAATAGGCAAGCAACACATGTAACGTAGTGTGGGCAGTGTGAGAGCACCAGTAGCAACTGTGTCCTCAGAATTGTTCTGGGGAGGGAGGCAGGGCTAATGGGCACCTCATAGTTTAATGTGTTTCCATGGTGATGACAGGATCTGGAGTCTCAGGTAACTGCTGAGCAGCACCTGCTGAATATCCTGATGTTGGAATTAGAACAGCCTGAGAGTAGAGAGGCAAGAGGCCCCTGGGCGGTTCTCTGAAGACATGCCAACCATACCCACGGCAACTCTTGTGGGAGGATCTGCCCCCTCCTACGGGCTGGTCTCCAGGACAACAGAGATCCTGCAGGAGGTAGGAAGAGGAGCTCCTGGGATCTCAGCTCTGTTTCCATAAGAATCTAAGGATGTTAGATTGGGAGGCCCACAGAGCACACTGAGGCCATTCTCCCACAAGGATTCTTCCCCTCCCAGGCATATGCTGTACCCATCATGTTTCTATTAAGGCAGAACTCAGTTCTGACAACAGGTCACCATCAAAGGGAGAGGGCCTTAGTTTACCTTCAACTTTCCATCCTGAGATATCAGAGAGGTCTGAGGGGACACTCTTCAAAGAGAGGAATTGCAGTGATATCAGCAGCTGATGTTTCAGACTCAGTATTATTATTGATTACCTGTGTCAATTTGGGCAAGTCACTTTGCATCTCTGTTTTCTCATCTGTAATACGGGGTGAGGTAGGTAGCACTTAACTATCAGTAGAAAAACTATGTGTTTGTTCAGTCAGCAAAGATCAGGTGAGATAGCCCAAAGTCAATTAGGGATCATTTAAAATACCATAAGGATTTTTGGTCCTGGGATATTGGAAGAATAGTATTTTATCCTTAGATAAAAAAAGTATATTTATATATCTTAGACTTTCTTTTATCCCTTTACTGTATAAAAAAATTGGAGCCCATAGACATTAAGACACTTGCTTAGGGAGTGTGCTGGTTAAGACTGGAATCAGGTCTGCCTGTTCTCTGACCCTCCATGCATCCAACAGGGGGACCAATCAATGAGCAGTACAAAAAAAACCCCTCAAAATACAGCAAACTCAAGGTTATATTTCCCAGAACTCCCTTCAGGAAGCTTTGTGTATGAGCGGAGTCATGGAGGCTGGTTGATAGGACCTTAGGCACCCACTCCTGGGGAGCAACGGGTGTTTGTCATGTGGCCTTGGGATCTTAACCTAACTGCAGGTTTTTGTTTTATCAAGTGGAATATGCAGGTTTGTGCCAGAGCTGAATTGTGTAGGCCTAGCAGAAGCGACTAAGTGCCTCTTCTAAGGGACTGGGGAGGTTTGGGTTATGAAAGCAAAGGCTGCCTTGCACACAAACTCTAGAAACCAGCATCTCTCTAGTCTTGTTCTCTGTCTGTGACTGAATGGAACCCCAAGGGGCTGGCTCCTTACCACCCCGTAGGCGATGATGTCTGAGTACATCCTCATCTCTGGGTACACACTGACCAGGTACCACCGGAAGGTCTTGCACTGCAGCTGCTTCCTCAAAGCCTTCCTTGCAGTAATGTCCCCGATGTCGATTCCTGAGTCCTACATGGGGTGCAAACGCAGAGATGCAGTCACCACCAGGGCACGCTTCTCCTCAGGCCTCCCCAACCAGGATTCCTGGAGACTTTTTAATAAAGGTAACACAACTCGAATTTCCCTCCAGGAACTTAACCCATAGCCATCCCCACTTGGACTATGAAACAAGGTCTCAACGTTGATAGGTACTGTCATCAAAGGCCTTTGGAAATAAGGCAAATCCTTACATTTTAAACTAAAACAACAACAACAACAAAAACCTGTAGTTATATTTAAATCCATGAAATAGCACTATTTAATCCTCATTTTACAGAAAAGGAGTTAAGACAAAGGGAGGTTCAATGACCTTTTTAGTGATTTACCAAAGTCCCACCATTAGCAAATGGAGTTGTGAGTTATGTGCTCTTAACCTTTCCCTGTGAATCTGCAAGGAGTTGCCCTTCTGCCTTCTGAGGCCAAGTCCCAGGGAGAGAAGCAGACTCTCTCCTTAAGCTGCGGGTCTGAGCATAGACAGTACCTGTCCCCCACACTTCCCAGGTAGGTCAGAAAGGTGGCTCCCGAGCCACCACAGTGCAGCAACAAGGAGTGGTATTGGAAGCATGAATGTGTCCTTGAGGGAGGGGGAGAGAGAAGCCCCTACATTTCTTGTGGCCCCAGCACAGAGTGGAGAGAGATCACAGAGAGTCCCTGAGCCCCACACCAGCTGTTGACCAGGGCACAGAGTCAGCTGAGACAGAGCTGATGCCATAGCAGAGAATGGAGACCCAGTGACATCTCAGAGATGGCACCATGGAGCCAGGAACGTTGGCATCTCATTAAACAGCAGCCCAGAGCGGGGATGGAGGAGGATGGGAACCACAGCTCTCCCATGGCACTGCGGCCTACATAGTTGCTGTGTGATGCCCAGTCTAGATCAGCGCAGGGGATCAGCAACTGGGGTTGGAACAACAGTGAAACTGACAGTGTTTAAGTCTGACATGTCTGAGAAAAATCACAGACGGCTGCTGATGTGTCTGAACATGATCCTAATAAGCTTTTGGCATCAGACAATGTGGGGGGGGGGTCCAGTGGAAAAAAAAAGTAAATATAAAATAATTACATTTATTTTTTGTCCAACAGAATGCAGGTAACATAAAAATGTGAACCTGCTACAGCCTGAGGGTTTGAGATCCAGAGTCCTAGGGAGGAATTTCAGCGAGGTTCTGCCTTTTGAATACTTCTCGGTGACTCCTCTATAATTTGTCTAGTCTCTGCTCCTGATGGCCTCTCTGCTGGACCCTGGCTCCCTGTGGTCAGGAGACATGTTTGGCTTATCTCTGTGCCTCCTGCCTAAATGTCTTGCACTATACTAATGAGCCTGAGTGAAGACAGTGTTTGTGAAGTGAACACAGCAACTGACACTAACTGTGACCCCACCCAAGGCGCCTGTAAAGTACTAACCCTTTAAACTTGTCTGCATTTTATCCTTATCCAGATCTCCCTGCTATATGTTATAATTGCCTTCAAATGATGGAAAATTAACACTATGCCTCAGCTTTTAGCAGGAGCCACTAGAAGAATTTGTCTCAGGAAGGTCTCTGTGGTTTTCTAAAATTCTAGTTCCCATCAGAAAAGTTTCTTACTATACTCAGGACCTGGGGACAGTTCATCTCCCTCCTTCTGATGGAATCAAAAATGTGAGAGATATAACCGGTCAGGGGCCATCAGACTTTTAAGAGACTCAAGAATCAGAGCTTTCCACGGCTTATGTTTCTGGATGTCATGACCCTTTTATCTTCCTGTTTATTAACCGACTTAAGCCTTTCCCTTTTAATGGTTCAGCACTTCTGCACCGTGTGTTTACTGTAAATTGTGTGAAACTTTCAGAGCAGGGAGCAGAAATTGAGAAATAAGCAAACTTTCTCAGAGAAGTTCACCTTGGCCCTTGTTATTAGAAAATAATGAATGTACCTTTCTTCCCTTGCTGAATACTTTCATGGTGGAATGGATTGAAGAATGTCTCCCTACCCCAAATTTTTGTCTATCTGAATCTCCAAAAGTGATCTTTTTTGAAATTAGGGTCTTTGTAGATGTAATTAATTAGAGACCTTGAAGTGAAATCATTCTGGATTTAGAGTGAGCCTAAATTTAAAAAAAATATTTTTTTTATTGATTTCTGAGAGGAAGGAAAAGGGAGAATTAGAAACAGTGATGATGAGAGAGAATCAGTTTGGCTGCTTTCTGCACGCCCCCTACTGGGGTTCGAGCCCGCAACCCGGGCATGTGCCCTTGACTGGAATCGAACCTAGGACCCTTCAGTCCGCAGGCCAATGCTCAATCCACTAAGCCAAATTGGCCAGGGCTGAGCCTAAATCTTTAAAGAGAAAGGAGAGGAAGGTTTGGACACAGAAACAGAGGTAGAGATTGGAGTGATGTATCTATAAGCCAAGGAGCACCATGGAAAGAAGGATCTTCCTCTTGAGTCTATGGAGGGAGCATGGCCCTACCTGCACTTAGATTTTGGGCTTCCAACCTCCAGACTGTGAGAGGATAAATTCCTGTTGTTCTAAGCCTCTCTGTTGGGAGTAATTTGTTTTGGAAGCCTTAGGAAGCTAATACACTTAGCCACACACAAAGCTGTCCAGTATTCCTGCCTGTGTGTACAGCCACACACAATTCCTTATAGCCAAACCTAAGGAAGAGCCATTGCCCAAGCACCATGGTGAGTCACCCCTGGCACTCAGCAGGGGTCAGTCTAGAGTTCATGAACCCCAAGTAAGAAAATGTTGCACACCGACTTTCTGTTTATTGATAAGAAAACTGATTTTCAATTCAAGTAGAAGGAAGCAAGAGTTGGAGGCTCCTCTAGCCTTCTAAATGCTTGAGACTGGATGTGGTGAGGGAGCAGGTGAGAGTCTTTTCTGTTCAGTGCACAGCCTGGGAGGACTCAGCATAGAAGGCAGCAGGAGAGGTTGAGTGCCCAGCAGGGGCATTTTAAATCTGGGGTGCAAATGCAGAAGGCATAAACAATAACAGCAACAAGAGGTAACACTCTTTCCACTTGCCAGGTGCTGATCAGTGTCTTTACATACATTAACTTATTTAATTCTCAAGATAGACACTAGGCATGGTTGAAGCATTCCAGCTCCACATTAGCAGCTGGGATGCCACAGAGGAAAGGTTAAGTAAATAGAAAACAGATGTGCTTTTGACTGAGCTAAAGATACAGTATTGGAACATTACCACATTAAGGACAGGTGGGCAACCAGGGAAGCCATGGAGCAACTATACTTTCTCTTCTTTGTTTTTTATTCAACTAATCTTTTCTGAGTGCTTAGTACCCTGTTTCCCCAAAAATAAGACAGTGTCTTATATTAATTTTTTCTCCTAAAGTTGCACTAGCTCTTATTTTCAGGGGATGTCTTATCTTTCCATATGCTAGGTCTTATTTTCAGAGAATGTCTTATTTTCGGGGAAACAAGGTAGGTGTTAGGTGCTGCCCTAACCACTGTGTATTCAAATAGGAAGAAGTCACAGTCTGCCAGAAAGAAGAGTCTGGAAGATCCAGACATATAAACAAATTCTCTACACCCAGTGTGAGCATGGAGGGAAGAGTGATAAAGTTCAACAGAGAAAGGGCCCTTACTCCATGTCATGGTGTGGGGCAGCCAGGAGGGTGGGAAAAGGAAGTAAACACTCAAGAAGACTTCCTGAAGTAAGTGATGCTAAAGATGAGTTTGGAACCTGATTGCCCCAAACCAGCACTTGGAGAGCTTTTTATAGATTTTGGCACCTACACATTTAATCATCAGAATCTCTGAGGATGGACCCAGAATCGGTGGTTTTTTTTTTTTTTTTTTTCTTTTCTAAAGCTCTCCAAGTAATTCTCCAGGTTGGTTTGCAGATCTGCTTTTAGGGCCAAGGGAGAAAGGGATTGTGCCTAGGACCAGCAGAATCATCTGTTAATAAACATTAGCAAGGCTTCACTGAGCTCTGACCAGGTGATCTGCCTTGTGCTAGTCATGGTGACACAAATATGAATAACACAATCTGTCCTCAGAGAGCTCATGGTCTAGGACAGTGGTTCTCAGCCTAGGTGAACATTAGAATCCCTGAGGTGTTTTTTTTTTTTTTTTTTTTTTTTTTATCTCTGGTCCCCTTCCACACCAACTGAGTAATAATCTCTGGGGCTGAAGCCCAAGTGATTTTCAAGTCCAGCCAGATTTGAGAGCCACTCGTTTATGAAAGAGAGACCTTCAGATAACAGAACAATCTTTTATAGGGTGATGATGCAAGGAAAGAGACATCCTTGCAAAAAGGAGCCTTCTTTCCAGCTGGCACTGAGTCTAAAGGATAGAAGGGAGTCAGTAAGGGTGGAAGCTGGGGAAGAGGTTTTGAGTATGGAATTCCAAGCAGAGAGGACAAAATTGAAAAACATACAGAAATGGGAGCTATGGACAGTTCTTACAGTCCAGGCAATCTGCAGACTTCAAAACAGGGTAGATGGGCAAAGGAGAAATCTTGAATCTGTGTCAAACACTGGAGGATTATTTAACAATTTTAAGAAGGGCATAACATTGTCACGGAGAGGTTTTTAAGATATAACTTGGGGTAGTATGAAGAGTAGATATGAGGGGAGGAGGGGGTAAGACTTAAACAAGGGAATCTAGATTGAAACTTTTGCAGAGGAAGAGACAGGCCTGAACTTGGACATGAGAAGAGGCAGGAGTGGAGAGGAAGGCTTGGTGATGGACTGGGAATGGGGCTTGAGAAAGAGGAGGATTAAAATAAGATGCTCAGTTTCAAGCTCCTATGTCTGGGCGGACAGTGGTATCATGAGCTGAGGTAAAGAATAAGAACTAGAGCGGATTTGGGGGTGGAGAGCTGTTCTCAGTTTTGGTCAGGTTCAGCCTGAAGCACCATGGGAACATCCAGGAGAAGCTGTCAGGTGTATGACTGAAACTAACAGCAGAAGTCAGTGCTTGGGATATCAATCAGGAAGTTGTCAACAGATAGGTGGGTGGAGGACCAAAGAATAGATAGGACTACCCAGAGAGATGGTGCACATGAGAGCAGGGGGCCAAGGATGGATCCCTGGAGACACTTACGCATCCAGTGGAAGTAAGAGGAGCCTAAAAGGAATTAGGAGCAAGTGGAGAGAGATGAAGACATTCTGAGGTGTGGGAACACAACAAGGGAGCAGAGTTACAAGGGAATGTGGGGCTCTGCAGGTTAAAAACTAAAATGTCCATGATGACTGTCCAAAGCAGCTTTGATGGAGTACTAGGATGTGACTTGAGATGTGAATGGCAAGTGAACAGGTATTGACTCTGCAGAAGTTTGAAAAGAGATATAAGAGGAAGTTTGGAGATAAAAGGGAACAAGGGGGTCCAGAGACAGACTTGTAAGAAACACATTGACCCCCCTTCTTCTCTGCCTAAGGCTCTATGCCGGACACTCCCATGTCTCATCTGCCTTTCTGGGATTCACCACCTCTGCCTACCAACCACCTTTGCTTAGTTTGGTACAACCCTGAAGAGTCACAGACAGATACTGAATTTCATCATTTTCCAATTATTTTTAACTCAGTTCTCATTGGAGTTGCTATGGTTTCAATATCTGGCAGGTGCTATTGGGGGAGATTTGTAGCTTTGGGGTACAGAGAGAAAAGGGGCAAGAATATGAACAGGACTCCAGTCCTTTAACAGAGCCCTTAGCAACGCCTCACTGGAGAGCTCCTTGGAGTTTTTAAGTGTTCTTAACATCTTTCTATTAGAGGACACCCACATGGGACTCAGCATGCTTCTCAGAATACTGTGATCCAACGCCCACAGCCCCAGATGGGTCCAGAAGGTACCACCGTTTCCTTGGAAACACGCCTACTGTCAGAGATGCAATCCTGGGGTTGATCCATAGGGTTGAACACACTCTGACTGGTACTCATTGGCTTCTCATTCTTACTCCCAAATTCTGAAATCTCACTGGTGGTGGGAGTATGTAACCCAATTCAAGTCCCTCCCCTATTGTGGTGCCAGTGGTGGGGTGGGAGGCTGCCTAAAAGCTTGACCCTATAACCCAACCTATTTTCTCAATCACTCAGCCACTAGCTTATGAGAGAAATCAGGAAACAGAGCCTTGAAACTTGAAGCAAAAATCAATCATTTCCCAGTTAGGAAGGGTATTATAAAGACTCCCAAGGGAAGCCATGGCCTTGGCAGGAAAGGAGGAGGTCATGTAATCAACAGCTCAGTCACACATAGAATGCAACATAAGCAATAATCTCCAGGCTAAGTGGGTGGGGATATTGTGGCTGGCATCTGTTGGGTTCTTCCAACTCAGCAGTTCAAGGTCATTGACATATGATACATGACAAGGCTGTATAAATTGACTAGGGAATCATTTCTTTTTTTTTTTTTTTCTTGTACTACGTAAGTGTAGGTGACTAGCGGGATGCAGGTTAGTGGCAGGTCAAGTTCTCTCATTTGAAATAAGGACACTAAGGTCTGGAGAGAAGTCCTCCATCAAGCATGCTAACCAGGGATGGGGATGGAGATAAGTCATGGCATAGCACCTCATCGCCAGCCCCCTTTCTTCAGCACGTAGTATATTTTGGGGCTAAGACTCCACTCTAGTACAGTAAACAAGACTGACCTATGGGAAGAGGATTAGTCAAATGTTTATTTTTTTGTTTGTTTTTCCCCCACCAAACTCCAAGAAACACATCCCCATGGGAGCTCCCTACCTCTTGGGGTATGTTCCATGCCATGTACACATGGCTTTTAAATTCATCCATCCAGACTTCAGCCACCCTGAGGGCGTTCCTGCGAACGTGGGCAGTGAGGTCCTCGGTGTAGGGCTTGTGGGCTCGCTCAATGTGGGCAATCCGAGAGCAGGGCAGGACCTCCACGCTCCCACCACACTGCCACACCTGCAGAAGACACAGAGCCACTCATCAGTGCCATGACATAAATCTGTGCCGCTAAACCAGGCTCCAGGTAACTACTCACTGTGAGCACTGACAGAGCCAGCTCTCTTCACCTTGTCTCACCAGACCACTGTCTGCAAAAGGAGCGAGCTGTGCCTTATTTCTACTCCTACCCAAGGAGGTTAATGGGTCATTAATTCGTGTCTTGTTTTTCTTGCTGTGCAAATAATTAATACACCTTCTCTCTCTATCCCATTCACTCCTCCAAAGAAAAGACATGACATTTTGTGATCAAAGATCTGAGTTCTCCTTGCCCCAAAGGAGAAGCTAACAAAACCCTGATAATGATCTCTGAAGCAGTGCTGCCATGGAGGGACCAGCAGGGACTGCCAGCAGAGATGTCATCTTTACAGGGGCCACATTGACCTGGACAAGGATTAGAGGTTACCACAGGGAGAGAGCAGACACCCTTCTCCTACTCCATCTTTCTTCGGTCCTGAATTCTGATAGAACCCAAGAGAGAGGGAGCTGAAGAAAAGGTCCATGTTAAACTTTTCAATGACCTTGGTGAGTAGGAGCTTGAACTGGATGCAATTTAACTTTGAAAAAAACTTTTAAAATGACCTTGCTTTCTGAGCACTAAGGGACAGTATTTTGGAGCTGTTGCCACAATCATTCCAGCCACTCTGAACTTTCAATGGTCTAGAATGTGCTTTTGTGCCTTGAGGCTTCTGTCCATTCTGTTTGTAATTTTAGAATGTTCTCCCCACTCCTTCTCTAGCTGAAAACTATCATCTCGCAAGACCTTGGTCACATTACCCCTCTGTTGTGGGGGGTCTTTGCTTAATTCTTGAGGCAGAGCCAATTGCTTCCTCCTCTGGCCCTCAAAGCTCTTGATATCACAACTTACCTGCTGATATGCCAGCCTCCCTCCCTCTCTCTGAATTCCTAGAGGAAAGAACCCATATTTCATTCATTTCTCATTTCTAGCATCTAAGATGAGGTCTGGTACATAGAGGTACTTTGTAAGCACTTGTTGAATGAATAAAATATTTATGTTTAATCAGTCAATCAATCAATGTGAGGCAAATCTGAAATGACTGGTCAGAGCTGATAAATGAGGGAAAGTAATCAAAGTCTCTTGGTGGACAGTAGTGGACACTTGTCAGGTATTGTCAACTAGATGATGTGGTGGATGATGTTTACACTTAGAGCTTGTGCCCAACAAAAACCATATGTCTTCATCTAAGATAAGGTCAGCTTTCAATTTAGCTTAATTTCCCTATGCTAGTTAGAAAGAGAATTCCCCCTCTTCCATCAATCTATCTCACACCAGTTGGTCCTCCACAGGCTGTTAGAGTTGGAAGGCAATTTATTGATTTACCACTTTCTAAGCTTGTCCTGCACTTCGTATATTATTTAGGGCCAAATGAAGAGTAAATAACCATCCCCACTGAGCATCCACTATGTTCCAGGCCTGGACTCTGCTTGCGGGGAGGCAGTGTAGCATTAGTGGTTATGAGTGCATGATTTGGGATCAAATCTTGGCTGTTTCTTACTACCTACATGACCTTAACTAAGTCATTGATCTCATTGTGGTTCAGTTTCCTCATTTTAGGGATCATAAAAGTACCTCTCTCATGAAACTATTGAGAAGATTAAAGTTATTGTCTGCAAATTGTTTAGGAAAATGTCTGGCACATAATGCTCAATCAATCTCAGTTATTACCATACAAATTATACAACAGACTCTTTAGAATGCCCTGTGAGGTAGTTGTTATTGCCTCTAATTCCAAGTGAAGAGACAGACTAATGACTGTCCCTTACCCAAGACCACACAACTGGTACTGAAGACAAAAGGATCTGACACCCACCAAAGCCAGAGGAGGACCCATGCTCCCTCAGGGTGACGCTGCTTTAAAAGTAGTTCCCACACCCAGAGCGGTCCTGTGCATCTTCATTTTTCTGTGACCTATCCATCCTGGGAATTGTGCTCCTGTTCAATTCACTTGGTTTAGATTTTCCATGAAGCCTGTTTATACTGTGAATATGTTATTGACAACACAGAGTCAAGGTAATTATTATTTTTGGAACTGCAGGCTATTACTTGACATATTTCAGCAACATAGTACAACATAATTCATAACAAAGCTCTTCTATTATGAGGCCTGTTTTTCAAAGAGTCAGTTCCCTATTTGCCTAAGAGTGGGTGGTTCTGCTGGTTGTAATCAGAAAAATGGTGGCAGCACCTCCCATCAGGCCCTTAGCCACACAGTTAAGGGAGCGTGTGAACTCACTGTGGAGATCTTGATCCTCCCCAACTCTACCCTGCTGCCACTGTCCTCTTGCAGACTAGGCTTGTCTCCTCTGGGCTCTGCAACGGCCTCCAAACAACTGATTTCCTCTTGCCTTCCTCCTCCAGTCTCTTCTCCACGCAGCAGCCAGAGAATCTTTGGAAGGTGTAAGCTGGACCAGAGGCCTCCTACACCACATCCTCCCCAGCCCAGCTCCTGCCCACTCCTCCAGCCTCTTGCCTGCTTCCCCCGACACTCTATGCTACAGACATATGGAGATGCCTTTACCTCCTCTGGAGTGCCAGGGTTTTCTCTCCCCTCTAGACTTCTACACATGCAATTACCTGCCCCACCCCTTCCCCACTTGCCCTGACTCATCCTCAGGGTGTCAGTTCAACATCACATCCCTGCACCCCTTCAACTAGGTGAGCCTGTTGCTCTGTGGTTCCTCCCTACCTTTCTCACTTGAGCACTCTTGCACTTGCTCTTTGATTACCTCCTTCCTTTCAAAACGTTCTTAAGTTCTTCACAGATCCTACTGTGGACATGTGCTAAGTGGTGCTCAGGATGGATGATGGGTTTCCAGCAGGGGGTGGGGAGTGATGCCTGCTGGGAGTAGCACACAGTGACTTAAAGCACAGTGTTGGAGACAGAGCGGGAACTGGGCTCCGGGGTTCTGCCTCTGCTGCCTGCTGGCTGTGTCACCTTTGGCAGGTGCCTCCTCTCAGGGGAAAAGGGAGATGAGGTGAGGCTGTCTGTTAACCTTGCACCTGCCTCAGTGTGAGCACTGCATGGAGTGAGACAAAGGAGGTGAGGACAGGACATCTGGGTCAATTCTAACCCTGCTGTGTGCTAGCTGACTATAATAGCACCTTTAGGCTACCTAACCTCTCCTCGTGAAATGCATATGACAGTGGTCCCCACACTGGGTGGTGGGCTTGGGAAGCTCCTGTCATCATGCTGGGAACTCTGTGAGCCCTAGTCTGCATCCATTATTATTGCTTTAAAACAACCATTATAACTGCTATTTGGCTCCTCCTGGGCATCCTGAACCTCATCCAGCACAGCCAGGAGAGAACCCCGCTAGACTGACTATAAGCTCCAGGAAGACAAGGGTCACATTGTATATACCAGGCACCTAATATATGTGCAATATCTGTTATTTGAATGAGCGATTCCAGCAATCCGAGAGCCCTGAGCTTTAACTATACAGATAGATAGTTTTAAGTCACTCAACGAGATCCCCTAATAAAGGCGATAAACATAACAGGCAATAAACATTTACTGAACACAATGACTTCCTTCAAACCCAAGCGGTTTTTCAGCAGAGTCCTGACATTTAAGTGCGCACTGCTGCAACCGAAAAGACTTACTCTGGCTGCAGAGCTTAAATTAACGTCATAAAACCTGGGAAGTCATCAAATGAGCACGGGCTATCGCAGGCGGCTCCTTCTTGTGGAACCTGAACTCCCTGCAGAAGGCCCCCAACCTCGCCAACTTTGCCCTCAGAGTAGCTTCTGGGCCCCAGTTGTGACCAAGAACCTGAAGCAAGTCCCATTCACCACCCGCCCTTCCCAGAGCGCCCTGGTTGTGAGACTGTTTCTGCAAAGTCTAGGGGAGGGCTAAAGTCCTGCCTCTACCGCCCATTAGCCTTTCATTCGGATGTCAGTTGCCTTTTTAAGGGGGAATAATAAATAACCTGTATGGAAAGCTCCCACTAGCAAAGACAGGCACATAGTGGGTTCCTAGGGCAGAGCACATCCTTTCCCTTCCCAGGGCTGGCAGCTGCAGGCACAAGGTCATGGTCACAAGCCTGAGTTTATGCTTGCCACTTTCCCCTTCCATGCCTCAGGGTCTCCCAGCTGCCAAATGGAGGAGCTGGACTCAATAATGTCCTAGGTTCTTTCTATTTCTTTATTTTTATTTTTTAAAATACGTTTTTATTGATTTTTAGAGAGAGAGGAAGGGGAAGGGAGATAGAAACATTAATGAGAGAGAAACACCATTGATTGGATGTCTCCTGCACACTTCCACTGGGGATTGAGCCTGCCATCCGGGCATGTGCCCTGCCTGGGAATCGAAAAGTGGCCTCTTGGTTCCTGGGTCAACACTCAACCACTGAGCCACACTGGCTGGGCTTTTCTGCTTCTTTCATTGTGTGAGGCTAAGTTTTCTTGCCAGTACCTCAAATGATATCCGTATGTGAGACACAACCGGCAGAGCTGTAACTGGGATGTATAAACTGGGAGGCGCTAGAGGCAAGGCAACAGGACATACTGTGACCATCTCTCCTACTCAGAGATCTGTGCCCACTGTAGTCTGTGGCCACTCAGATTTATATGTCTCCTATCAGCCACTCCTGTGTTAAATCATTTTGCTTATTAATGTCCTTCTGAAGCACTGTGTTGAGAAGGATTTGAACTCCCTCCCCTCTCCAACCCCGCCCTGGCTCAGTGGAAAAGCCTGCCATAATTTATTAGTAACGTTTATTGTGGGTAAGGGGTTGAAGGGCAGGGGAGGTGACACCTGAGCATTGTTCCTCATAGCCATGGTTCACAGTTCGAGATCACAAGTCCTTTCCAGCTTTTATCTCCTCAGGACTTGCATTGAGCTCTTTGCTCTTGGCAAAATGTCCCCACTGTTCCCTTGGCCTGGAAAGCCTCTTTCCTGCTCCCCACCCATCCAGAGCCAGCCTGGCCCCGTTCCTCC